CTCCCCTCGAATAGAACACTGGGGGGTACATTATTGTCACCGGTGAAGGGCTGAAGGGCCATTCCGTTCCACCGAGGGGTGTCTTCCGGCAGCCACCCTGTCGACACGAAGCGGGATCCCCTGGTCAATCCAGAGGCCCTCAGAGTAATACACCATACCAAATTGGTCCCCTCCCTGACGTGGGAGGCCTTCCGACCTGCGTAGACCTCTGTTAACCCAGGATCAATACAGGAACCCTCATTGACGCAACAATATTCCTGATCGTCGCAGGTGGTCCAGTAATTGGCACATAGACCCCAGTTCGGCTTAACGGGCCATGCTTGAGTTGGGCTGGAGGACCCACCTTTCGGTACCGGGAACCCTGACTGACAGAGCCGTTCCATTGCCTCAATGTGAACGATCATTATAAGATGCCATGTTTCTTTTCATTGTCAGATGACCGCAACCGACGCAAAAGGCCTCTGCCATTCAGGGTCCCTCATTCGGCACTGTGAACCTCTGAACGGTAGAGGAACTCCACATTGCTGCAGGGTCCCGACCAATGTAAATCACCGGCCCGGCCGTGTTCCTGCTTGGGAAATGAGCACCCTGAGCTCAGGCCGACGCGGAGCCGGCGGTTCGGTATTGGTGATCTCTGCCCGAAACATAGGAACGCTCTCTCTCAGGGGTACCCAATCGATGTAAGAGGCTCTTTAACAGACATTTGAGATTACGGCCTTGTGGGCGGGGTCCTTAATGTGACTTGCAGATAGCCCTTTGGGTCATTTAACCTTGCGATCGGGCCCTTGATCTTTGGTCTCAAGAGACCCTTTTGGCCCCCTTTCGGCCCTCTCAAACACCGCTTCCGGTCAACTCGAACCACTTGCCGCCCCATGACCTCCCCACTGTGGCCCCTGACCGACACAAGATCCCCTCATTGTGCCAGGAACCCCGAACATTGCAAATCGCCGGCCCCGGCCCCGTTCCTGCATGGGAAATGAGGCTCAGACGCCGAGATCGACAGGGAGCCGACTGCTTGACTCCGTGTCGATGTCCTATATACTTGGGATGGAGAATCCTAATTAGAGGGACCTTATAGAAGTTTCCCGACGGACATATCAGGTCATGCCACTATGTGTGAGGGGGGCCGAGTCCAAGTCCAATCGGGCGCTCGATCTTTGGTCCTGCGGGGCCTTCTGGCCACTCTTCGGACCTCCTCAAACAAAGCCCGTGACTGACTAGAGTCCACTAGCCGAGACATGACCGCCTGTAATGCACTTTCGGGCTGTTACTAACAAAGGGGCCCCAACCACTGTTTCAGGGACCCAGATCAATGCAAATCATGGCCCACGGTTTTGTTCCTACTTGAAAAATGGGTCCCTAGGCTTCAGGCTGACAGGGTGCCAACTGTGCGGCGTTCGTGGTCTCTGGCCGAGTTTGACACCCACATTGTCCTCAAACGGTACGGGACGACCTCTGACTGATATTTCAGGTCATGACCCTACGGGCCGCGATTATTTATTTAGCCAACAACCAATCTTTCGGGCTCTTGTGCACTCCAAGCGCGCCTTTGATATTCTATTCCGTCGGGCCGCCCGGGCCTATCTTCAGGCCTCATTTAGTACTGCCCTTTGTCGTCTCGGGACCCCCTGCGAGCACGGGATCCTGTTTTAGGCGCTGTGGGCCGCTGAAAGACGCAGGGACACCGGCCAGTGAAGATCATTGGCACCGGCTTTGTAGCTGATTGGGAATCGGGCCATGAGGTGCATACCGATACGGAGTGGACCGTGCGGCCCTGGTGGTGCCTAACTGATATATAGACCCATATCGACTCAGGGTATCCCTGATCGGTGCAAAATGCCCTCCAGTTGTCATCTGAGGGTCCGTAAATAAGACTTCAACCAGCCATTCGTGCTCGTAGCCCTTGATCCTCATCGAGCCCCTGATCTTTGGACCCGGTGGCTCTTGGGTCTTCGGGTTTCCTCGAACACTGCCTCTGGCCGCCTTAGGCCCTTTGCCAGCACTGGACCTCCGTTAGGCACTGAAGGGCCTCGACAAATGTAAACCGCCGGCTCCGGCATAGTCCCTGTTTGGGAAATGGGCTTTCAGATTCATGCTTCCACGGATCCTGATGCGTGTTACTGATGTGCGTTACTGATGGTGCTTGACCAGCATACAGGTCCTTATCGCCTAAGCTTACATGGGTGCTTCTTGTCTGGGAATGGACTCCTTTCAGACCTGAGAGCGGACTATCATAAGTTGAAAGCTGTGCGCAGGCCGGGGGAGAGGGAGCACCGGGGCACACATGCCTCCCCTTTGGCCCAGGCGGGCCCCCGAGGGCTCCTCGGGACCGACGATCAAGGGCCTGATGAGGGGGCCTGAGGAGTTGGCTAGAGGCTGTTTCAAGAGATCCCGGCCCGCAAATATCCATCATTGAACCTCTTGCGCCGCTAGGGGGCCCCTGGAGGCAATGAGAGCCTGCCAGTCGCCAGTTTTGGGTTCGTTTTTAGGTTCTGCGTCTGGTTGATCTGGTCTTTCACGGAACGCAGATCGTAATCGCTGTTGGCTAGGATTTGCTGAACTCACCTAAGCTTCTAGTGTACAAGGGACGATGACGATGTACCTTTAAGGGCAGGGTGCATGTTAGCCCGTGTAACGCTGGTTTTGTAGCTGTCTGGGCACGTGCTTTTTCCGTTCAGGCATTTGCCAGCATCAATAGGCTTTCGGTGGACGCTTGTTGCAAAGGTTTTGTCCGGAGCATTGAACGGTACGACCAAAAACTAAATCCATTCCGAAACTTTCCTCGATGGAATCCTTTTAGCTTGATACAAATTCTAACCTGACTTTCAACGCGTTCAGAGCGGTAAGATCTTTGATGCTCACTAAAATGTCATCAACATATCGCACGTACAAATGAGGTTAAATGATCAACAAGAACATTTTGCTTAACCGAGGATATAAGGCTTGGGCTCACAGGACCCGCAGCGGTGAGCCCATTGCAATGCCGTCTGCTCGGTAAAACAGCTTTCCTTTAGGGCATCTGAAGGGTGCCGTGGTTCTGCACATTGTCAACATTACACGCATGATGCATTCAGGAATGTCTGGTGCGGACGAAGTACTGTGCCCCTATGTTCCATCCAACTACTTCCTAAATTTATTATCCAAGTTCGTCGATTTTGCTAAAAACAAGAGCAAGACTAGGCATGCTAGCATGTCTAGATGTCAGTAGCCCGTTCATAAATGCCACTGTCGAACAGATTCTTGACGTTCTAGCTCGCTGCGCATGCCATCATGAAATTTTGTCCACACCGGACACTTATGAACTTCTATGGCAAGACCCGCGCGCTAACTATGGTGAGCACCGATGTACCCTCCAAAGTAGCTTGGTTTTTGCTTGAAGGTAGCACGCACTTGGTAGTGAAGGCATCAATCACATGTGTAAATGCTTCTAGACATACCTTTTGAGACAACTTGACCGCTAGCACTGTCACCTTTCTGCACACGGTCTGGTCTCCTTCTGTGGGTTAAGTCGAGCGGGCATTTACCTCCCAGTGTGACCCCGGTCCCAGAGATCTTCCATTTCCAACGCACAAGAGCGGATCCAGAACCTTGCGTGGGAGGGGGGGGGGGGGGGGAACATTGCGATGGCAATGATCGGTCCCTCCTCTCCTCTTGGATGCACCCCTGCCGACGCCACCACTTACCCCGTCTGTGCTGTACAGTCATGGCCAGAACACTTTGGTGCGTCCTCTGGATCGAGGCAGGGGTCCTTCTCCCTATCTGATGTTCATTATCGCTTTTTATAACTTCATTTATTGTTGACAGCTAGGCTTGTGACCTCCTGTGGACTTTAGAAATGAAAAAAACACTCTTGTTTTCCTGGAGTGTTAAAAACGCTGATCAAGTGGCAATGCACGTCACTAAGCCGTGGGTTGAATGTTGGGTATTTATTGTAACATCATATCTGCTGAAGGACAGACAGACAGACAGACAGACAGACAGACAGACGCGCGCGCGCGCGCGCACACACACACACACACCACACACACACCACACACACACACACACACACACACACACACACACACACACACACACACACACACACACACACACACACACACACACACCACACACACACACACACACACACACACACACACACACACACACACACACACACACACACACACACACACACACCACACACACACACACACACACACACACACACACACACAACACACACACACACACACACACACACATATATATATATATATATATATATATATATATATATATATATATGTATACATATGTATATACAATGTATGCATATGTATATGTATACATATGTATATACAATATATACACACACACACACACATATATATATATATATATATATATATATATATATATATATATATATATATATATATATATACTGCACATGTCCTGACGGTACAGCAACAAATATCTTGGCCGTTCATCGCGCACTGCGTGCCGGGAGCGTGTCGCGGCTGACGGCAGTGCGCCTGGGTTATCAGGGTACAACCCGTGTGCTGTCGTGTGTGACATGTTCTCATGCCAGGCATGCGGCTGGGTTCATTGTACAGGCGTCATGACTGCCACCGCCACGGTGACAGCTGTGCCATTCAGGCCGAACCGCGGGATGTGTAAAACGACGCGATAGTAGATTGGTGAGGGCTAATTTAGCCGATAGTTGGCATGCATTGCAAGTACAAAACCATGACGTTTTGCTTGTGTTGTGTGGGCCGACGATAGCGTTGAGTGATATTGGCAATTAAGGGCCTGAAGACTGCAAGACAAAAAAAGCGCAAAGCCTGGCAAAGATGGCACACGAAATGACGCACACTGTCTGCTTCGCATTTGCTTTGAAAGGCGCCGTTTGTCTTTTGCGCAACCGGTCTCTTCATTCCCTAATGGCATCTCTGAGACCCCAGCGGTTATCCCTGAAGATGTCATGTGCATATCCGGGGCCTGCCCTGTTTCAGGACGGAGCACCATCCAGTGGCTGGGCATCGGCGGCCCGATGGAGCGGCGTCGGTTTCGCCACGCGCCGTACATCATCCCCAAGTAGCCGCGTGGTCCTGTCCCTGACCCGGTCACATGACACGGGTCAGGCCGGCGCACGGCCGGGCTGAGCGAGCTGCGGGGCCGGCAAGAGAGACGCTATCGGCGACCGAACTGTGAGACGAGTCGCCGGCGAGCGTGCGAGCTCAGTGTAGGCCTAGATGTTTTCTATGCGGAGACTGAGCGGTGGGGAGGCCGCGGCTAAACGTAGCTTCGGGCCGTCTGGTGGTCAGAGGTGTCGGCGCACCTCGCGGTCAGAGGTGTCGGCTCGCCATCAGCCCGCTGGCGGTAACCTGCACCCCAGAGCGCAGCTGCGTCCTCGGAGAACAGCGGTGGGCGGAGGCCGACTGCGGTGCTCTCATCTCCGCACCACTCACGGAGGCAGCAGGTAGGTGGCAGCTCTGACGGTACGTCTTCCGATGCCATTGTCAGACTCGGTTAGAATGAGGGTGGATTTGTGAGAAATATGTTCTCAATCTCTCGTGGCTTGCTGGAGGTCAATTATTGGTATCATTGTGTTATCATTCGCTGCTAACAATCGCGAAATACCAGGGGCTTATTGTCTTTCGTAAACAATTCCACCAATGATAAAGGACCGTTCGATCAGATTGATCCACCCATCTTGCGATCGTGTGATTGTGTGTCCTTTAGTTCCAAAATATTTTTGACCCGTACCCATTTAACAAAGACGCTGAAGATGTGGCGAAGCTCCGACATCCTTCGCCGAAGATTGATGCGGTATGTGGCGTGTTTTTCAAGGTCCTAATACGGCCACCTGTAAGCCGGCTGCTCTGGTTGTCAGGTTGTCAGGCTACTCACGGTGACAGTCGGTGAGGGTTGTCAAGAGGCAGAGCAAGAAGTAAGGGCAGAGCAACTGCCAGTCACCGCTCGTTGCTTGTGTGTCTGATCGTGCATCGAAATGACGAAACATTGCCGTAAGATAGTGCAAAATAATATCATATTTTGATGACAAAATGCCTGCGTGAGAAAAGGGCAG